GAGCGTCGTACGACGAAAATCGGATGCAGTGTGAATCCAGCATAACGGTTACGGCCATTATAAATCAGGCTTTAAGATGCTAATACGGCTCTCTGGGCGGAATCCATAGACGTTGCTCAAGATTCAAGATAGCGTGTGAACCAATCAGAGAACCGTATTAGCATCTTAAGACATTGCTTGAGGTTAAAACCGGACTGTGGATTCCAGTGTTAAGACCGGACTATGGATTCCGGCCTCTGATTGATTCATGCATTAGCTTAAGACCATCTCGAATCTTGAGCAACGTCTATAGATTCCGCCTATATGGCAGATTTAGGCTGCTTTCCTTTTAGGAGACACAAATCGACACAGTGGTTGCGGTCCACTTGACGCTACAAACGCTTCGAAGCATTCTTTGATTAGTCAATTCATAAAATTCTTCGTTCTGATTGGTCGCTCAAACGCTTCGAAGCGTTTGTAGCGTCAAGTGGACCGCAGCCAGTATAACACACTTGAACACAGTTTGCCATACTTAAATGGAACGCCATATGTGTATCGTGTGTACGAACTTTTAATACCTAACCTTAAAAGATTTGAATTTCCTTAATGGACACACGAGATCCAATTATTTCTTTAAGATAAACGCAATAACGAATATTCTGATGGAAAATAGCAGTAGTAGTAGCAGCAGCAGTAGCAGTAGCAGCATTACTAGTAGTAGTGAATATGAATTTTCAACTGATGATGAACAAAATCATGATATTCTGTTTCCAATCCTACAAATGCTTAATATAAATTATACAAATTCTTAATATATAATACTTAATAATACTAATACTAATACTAATAATACTATAATATTATAATACTAATATAACACTATAATACTATAATACTATAATACTATAATACTATAATACTATAATACTATAATACTAATTAAGTATATAATACTTAATACAAATTCTTAATATAAATTATAAGTATATAATACTTGCCATTATAATGTTTTATTAACATTCGTCGATTTAAGTACCGAGACACTTCAATATCTTCAGATATTAACAGAACAAAATGATGGAAATTGGTTTGCGGGTGCGTTCTAATATCATTTAATTCATAAAATTACACTTGAACAAACTCGAAACACACTCTAGGTTTGTTTTCTGTTCCTGCACTGGTTGCACTAGTTCAAAAAGTGTACACTAAAGCATTTTCTGTACCCAAAATGGCATCAGCGACAGTGTTTCTTGTTCCAGTGCAACAGAACTCAGTACACGAGTTCACCGAACTGGCTGCACTAGGTCTTGAGGCAGTGTAAGCAGTGCAAGCACCGGTGTGCACTAGTTCAGCTACAGAAAACAGATCTCGCGTAAATGACGCATAGCAAATGGTGGCAAGTTCGAGAGTCCACGAGTAATAAAACGGTAAGTATATGGAAATAAAAACTTTTCTCGATCTAAAAGACTAATGCGGGGTCTACAATAGAAGTCGTAGAGTCTTGAGTCGTAGAAAATTAATCAATCACAGTCGAATATGAAAAGAATAATCGACGATGATTGGTCAATTTTCTACGATTTAAGACCCTACGACCGCTACGACTTCTATTGTAGACCTCGCATTATATTTACATTTCAATACATTAAAAATGCATACATACAAATAAAAACCGTCACAATTAGCTAAAAATCGTAACTATTGAGCATCAAATTTGTAAGGTTAGAAAATGTCATGTTAATGTGTAATAATTATACCACAACTAATTTTATAAGCAACGATTTCCACTTATTTATAATAGAAGTTGAAATATATCTTTTATAATATATACACATATTATATGTATATATATATACACGTATATTATATACACATACTATAATATATAAAAAAATATATATATTACTATTTATGTTATAAATGAATAAACAGAAATTATTGCTTGTTAAAACATTCAGTATTATATTATTAATTATTATGCATTATATATACAGCATAAGATTTTCTAACCTTACAAATTAGATACTCAATAGTTAGAAATTTTTAACTAATGAATTGTGACGGTTTTCACTTGTATGTTTTCACTTGTAAAGTCTTTTAGGTCAAGAATAGTCTTGTCCATTACTTACCGTTTTACACTCGATTCTCGTATCGAAAGGAAGAGAATTGTACTATTGGGATTATGGGAACATGGGACGCCATTTTTATCTTACACTAGAACGTTTTCTATTCCTTACCTGCACGCTTACACTCGTCAGTTCTGGCTTGCACTAGTTCGGTTCAGTTCAGTTCTAGTGCAGTCCCAGTGCAGGAACAGAAAACAAACCTTCTGACTCTCCTCCCGAGCAGAGGCGAAGGCTGTGTTCCAAAATTGACTGCCAGTACTGAAAATCTATAGTGCACGTAACGTAAACTGTAGCATTTTCTGTGCTGGGAGTAAATTTGGAACACAGCCGAAGTGTGTCGATTGAGTTTGAACAAAATTGTAAGGGTGAAATCACACGGTGTGGAAAAA